TCACCTGTTCGGTACAACGAATGACATCTATTAGATTGTTGTGGCCCAATGATCCATTTTTAGTGCTTGGGTTTCCCCAACGTGTCTTCAATAGGCTTAAGGCTGGAGCTCACGGTCCGAATTCAATAGGTTATGGCGAATGCAATCCGTCTAGGTTTTCGGGCAATTCATTGGGATCCCTTAGGCTCTGTTATCTCCCACGAGGATGCAAAGGCGTGAATTTCTCGAAAGTTAGTCCAGCAAATACAGGGAGACTCGGATAAATGTCTTCGTTCCAGTGATTGCATTTTCAGCTACACAACACGAATGTCATCTGTTAACGAAAACGCTATTATCCACCAGAAATGGCCTGCTGTTGGAGGTTTTTATAGCTAACGTTTTTTATCCCTCGAAACGCATTCTATGATCATCTTACAACATATTTTCCTACCCCTAACCAATGAACCCCAGTGTCCCAGCAATGACGACGAGGCTCTGCGTTATCGATCCGGATTGGAGGGTGAAAACAGATGTATGGTGAGTGCCTCCATTTATTTTAATCACGTGCCTAGTTCTGTTCTAATTGCAGTCTACGTACGCCTTTGTTAACTTCTCTAGTACTGGGCCGTATATTCGTCAGCTTACGGTGTCATACGTAGCCTACCTGATGCATAACAGTCCGTTGTGGTCAAAAGGACCAGCCCATTATAATAATTACAAGTCGAATGAGGGCTAACAGTAGAGCTTTCGAAAACCAGTGACCCACCGTAAGAATTGCACTTGTATGGACACAGCAAGCACATTCCAAAGCATCAGTCAGCCCTGCGATGTTCCTTATTTGGGCCACTGAAAGCTAAACCGACAGTGTGAACGTCCTCCTTGTTTGATATGCCTATATGTTCTGAAGGAGGTAACAATCGGGAGATGGCACCCAAAAAATCCGCCTAACCAAAACAGCCTGTCTTACGGGACAGGTGGTAATAGGGGTTTTATGGGTGGTGGCTGGTCGGGATGTACGATACTAGCCGGCGGAAAGCCTTATTTGAACAGGTGAATGATCGAAGTTGGTCCGCTCTCCGTTCCGTTATTACAAAATGGGTCGCCAAAGTCAGTATAATGGTAACGGACGAGTGGAAGGCGTATAATCGTCTTCCCTCAGAAGGTTATCTACATTTCTCTGCTAACCACTCAAAGAACATCAAGAACCCTACCACCGGACGGCACACCAATGCCATTGAGGCATACTGGAGTAGGCTGAAAAGGAAATTCCACGAGGGAGGCCCTGTATGTGGTCAAGCTGTGCGGGCTCCCATAGACGAAGTACAGTATCGTTTTTTGGTTTGGCCTCAATGCCATGTCTTTGACAGATGCCTGGGAAATGTTCCTGTTCCATGTTGTGCAGACTTATCCTATTTAAAAGCGCTTTTGTTTTGTAATAAACTGTCATAATGCGAATGTATGCCGTATATTCAGGTGTATGTGTGTAACGATGGGGAAGGTTGGGTAACAGCGACCATCGTCCATGTAACCTCCTGCGATGTTCGTTCGGCCAGCCCATGTTAGGCCGTCGGGGAAAGTCCAAGTAGTGCGTGAAATTAGGCCTGCAACCGCTGATATAGCATGAAGGCGTTTGAGTCCACTGTTAAAGGTATTATTTGTTTTATTATTATTGGTTTTGGGTGCCATCTCCCGATTTTTACCCTGAAGGACAGTACGCGGCTGTTATTTTGAAAATAGGATCTTATCCTTCTAGTTCTAATCATTATTCTACAGGACGGATAAAAAGGAACCAAGTTCTAATCAAATTTCGGTTTACAAATATTTAAAGGGCAGGTCAGATGACCACAGTCTCTTTGCAGCCCAAATCTATGTACTGGCGTAGTTAAAGCCGATCAGATGACTCCGCTTTTTGGTTCAACCTCTAGCGCAGAGGCATGTCTATGACATGTAGGCAACATGCGAACATGGAGCAAACTGTAGATCCCTATGCGAGGTCTCGTAAGCCACTGCATTGGAGGCACTCTGATGAGCAAGCCAACGAAATTCAAATTAGTCAAACCAAAACAACGAGGAGATGTAAAGCCGGACTCAGGAAAACTATGGACCATGTACACGACCAAATTTCCTCACGAACTCTCCTCGATATCCCACTTTAACATGAGCCTCAGAACGTACATTGTCACCGTTCCACCCCGACTGGTGTCGCGCTTCGCAGCCATGTTCGTCTGCCCACGGAATTTAGCTGATCTGCACTGAAGATGTTATCGAGAATAAACCGACGTCTGAAGGGCTGCGGTCAGTGCTGCATGGAGATTCTCGCATGGAATCGCCAGTCATGGTAGACTGCCGCAAAAAGCGGTGCAGCTGGTGCTGAAGCCAAAAAAATGTGGGACATTAGGGATGAACACTAAAGAGAATTTCGTCGACATGGCTCTACTAATGTGTAACCTCTCCTCATGGTTTTCAAATTTCGGCACTCTCTTGAGTCCGAGATGCGGCATTGCATAACTTGAACGGACCGCGCACCAATAATGAAGACCCAAAAATTTCCATGAACCTACCCTTGGTCATTAACCTTCCACTGTATGTGTATGTATGTATTTTGTTAAACGCCAGAACTCCAGCTGCTGTGTTAAACAGTGTTCGCATAATCGTAAATTGCCGTTTGGTAGACTATTTCACTATCTTTGTTCTGTTTTACTTGTTTTTGCAGAACCAAACTGACTGCTTGAACGTAGAAGCCGGTGAGTGAACGCATGTTTACTGCAAAATGCACTCATTTTTTCAGTTAATCTGCTGAACACGCACGAAATGCTTCACGACATTGAACATTACACCCTATTTTTGCAGTACTTTTTAAGCTCCTTTGCCCTAATCCAATTCCCTGACCGCATTTTCATGTCCACTGTAGACTGCGTCACATGCCTGAACTCTGTTCAGCGTGTCGCCGGTTGGATGAACTCTACTTACCTCCGTTGGGTGACCAAAATCTTCATACACAGCCTCTGTCGTGTATCCGGGAGTTCAGTTGTAAGTTGCACGTTACGTACGCGGACTGCCGTTTGGCTCGCTCAACCCGAGCCAGAACCCAGTAGACGTTTTCCCACCTGTGTACTGTGGGAAGAAAAGACAGTCACTCCACTCAGGTCATGCAAAAGTGGGGCTGGGCGGGGCTGACTGACGACAGCTAATAAGCCAGAAACGACTGTTTCAGTTCCTATCGTCTTCGTCGGCACTGCTCCCTGCATGATGTCCGGTTGCTGTGTCTACGGAGCCTAGATCTACAGTGCGTGACCTATCTCATGGAATGTTGGCCGAAATTCTGAAATGCGTTTTCGATTAGGAAGGATTACTTGATCGCGGTTGTGATACTGATTATCTTAAGGCATACTCTTATAACATTTTGGACTCGGAAGGATGTCGGCTTTTAAATGCATTTCTTTTCAATCGCCTACAGAAAGCGTGCTCGGAAAAAATGACTACTTAATTAGCATGCATTTTTCCCATTGATTTTCGATGGTCTTGCAAATCCAAATATATTTTATAGAAACCACAAACAAAAATGTGCTTTCTTTTAGTCAATCAATAGAGAATCACGTCTTCTTTATATTTTATACTTAAGGAAGGAGTATAATTAGGTTTCAAAAAAGTTTTCTAATTGCCGAAAAATTTGGAGCCTGATCATTCGTTGCATTAGCGCTTAGTAATTTCAGTCTACAAGGTGCATGCGTTCCGCGAAAAGAAAATCCCATATTTTTCTATGTCATTAAGGAGATATCATACAGGGTCCATAAAATTTTGCAATGGATACGGACCACGTTGTACATTTCATGGGGAGCAGTGGTAAATGTCCAGGTACGATGCTATGTGAATGGACATTTCGCGGTCTTAAAGTCTCATATATAGAAACTTTTTTAAAACGTATTATACTCCTTCCTTAAGTATAAAATATAAAGAAGACGTGATTCTCTATTGATTGACTAAAAGAAAGCATATTTTTGTTTGTGGTTACTATAAAATATATTTGAATTTCCAAGACCATCGAAAATCAATGGGAAAAATGCATGCTACATAAGTAGTCATTTTTTTACCGAGCACGCTTTCTACAGGAGATTAAAAAGAAGTGCATTTAAAAGCCGACATCCTTCCGAGTCCAAAATGTTATAAGAGTATGCCGCAAGATAGTCAGTATTACAACCGCGACCAAGTAATCCTTCCTAATCGAAAACGCATTTCAGAATTTCAGCCAACATTTCATGCGATAGGTCACGCACTGTACCTCCAAGATGCGACGGGACGGACATGTTCCCCAGCGTATACAGCAGTATACAAACATCAATCGACTGATAGAGATTTTAGTTAGATAGCGGCCGCTCGTCAAAAGTTTTATTTGAACCACTTTCGTCATTTTTTGGGAAATTTCAGATACAATTGGATGAAATTAAACAACTAGGTTGTAATGAAGCGGTACCGAGACGTTGGAACGCACTTCTCGTGCTTTTCGAAGCATTGACAACTGTTATTCCAAGCGACATTATCGGAGAATTTGTAGCATTTGATTGACAAGTTAGCAGTTTCTAGCTATATTCATCGTCACTATCAAACGCTTCTCACACGGGTCATGAGGGATTTTTAACATTGGCAATTTATTGTTTTTTATGCCTTTCAGTGTGAAGCCAGAATGTGGGCACTAGTGGACAAGGCCACGGACAACATAATAAATGGTCCATATGCCGTCCAGATATGTCGAGTAAGTAAACGTTTTCGGCTCACTGGACTTGAATCATCATCATCATCATCATCATCATCATCATCATCATCATCATCATCATCATCATCATCATCATCATCATCATCATCATCATCATCATCATCATCATCATCATCATCATCATCACCAGCAGCAGCAGCAACAGCAGCATCAGCATCATCACCCAGCCCTACGACCCTACTAAAGTTGTTTTTTGGAAATGAAAGCAAGTTTCGGGATTTCGGTCAACATTCCATGAAGTAGAATATCCACTGTACTATTATAATTCGCAAGTTACAGAATGTCCGCAGTGGTGGGAATCGTGAAAGTCCCTTCAGGTAGCCCAGGACTAGGTTATGGGTGATGACTACAAATATTGCAGTGACGGCAATTTCAGCCTTTTCCATCCCATTCGCTAAGCCATATGGGTTACACTGTAAATGTTAGAAGCCAAATATTTCGTGCTGCTAAATGACAGTGGTAGGAAAGAAATACTGTTTCTTGTGCGAAAAAGTCAAAGCCTCTAGTTTGTCCTGCTTCGCCTGCATTACACCGGCATATAATTCACCTCTTTTGGCGGATGTAGAACTTGCTCCATTGTCCCAGCCACTTTTTTATTTTATGAGAATCCATTAAGTAGAGAAGAAGACTGTTAGAGCACAAAAACTGCCGCCTCGAATTTGTTACCTGTTTGTCTACCTGTTTCCGCTGTGTCTAACAAAATTCCCTTCCTATGCAGTTCATTGGAACGTGCCCCGCTGCCAGTCCACTCGCCGTTCAGAGGGGTTTTGGTAAGCTGGAGAAATTTTGAATAGTTTGAATTCTGTAGTCCTGCCTTGGACAGCTTCCTTTGCTGAAACGCCGTATCGTAGGGCATGCAATGCGCTCTCCAACAATCAGATATTCGGACAGGAATTTGAAAGGTTTGCATTATAGTGCAAATCCTATAAGAGTGTATCATAACCGGGTTTTTGAATGGCGTTCACGGTTTTGACGGTATCACTTTTCTAGAAGGCAGAAGACAAGGCCCTGGTAGGGTAGAGATTCCACGACCGACTGAAGATCGACAAGCAGCCTGTTTATCCATTTAGTATCCAAAACCCAAAGCATTGTCGAACTGTATTTCACATGGGATAGGGCCCCCCCCTACCGATTTTCAATTCAGTGGAATGGGTACTTTCCAGTCTCTTGCCGAACTGTTGCCAAACCGACTAATATCGTTAAAAATTTTCACAAAAATAGAGACTACCGGAAGAATTATGAAAAAAGGCTTTACAGTGCACCTATGAGGGGAAAAAGCACCGAAGGTTCCCCACCTCCATGGCCTGAGAATGGTCAACCAGATAGAGTACTCTGAGCAATCATGGGATTGGTCCGTTTCCAGCCAATGTGATTAACGGTGGAGCATCCCAGGCCATCCAATTGGGATGATTAAGGTAGTCAGGCAACGTTCCCAGCCACTCACCTCATGAATTTCATTCCAACTGCCCTGAGTTATGCGTGCCTGTTTCATTGGAAGGCAACATTTGTCTCGCACATGCTGCTGATGAAAATTTGCTCTCTTTTTTTTCCTCTTCTATAGTATGCAACCTGTGTGAGTCGGTACTGGGACTACTGGTCCGGCAGTTGACCGAGCAAATCAGAATAGAGGACGTGAAGGCTTTTGCCGTCAGAGTATGTTCAGTTTTACCAAAGAATGAGACCGAGGCCATCACAGTGGTAAGTCTTGGTTTGTACAGTTTAATGTCACAAAGTAATGGGCTATCACATCTTTACGTATTCCAGGAATGTCTTGCCACGAAATAGCCCACCCACAGACAAGAACCTAGGCACTCGCATACAGGGGAAATAAGTGTCACATTTAATTACTCATGTAGCGTTAGGCCATCGAAACAATCCCCACTTATGACTGAAGTACCCAATAGAGTAAGCCCGTTTCTTCTAACGTGCCATCAGTACAGTTGGGAAATGTTGTCGGCATACTGATTACAGCGATTTATTCACACAGTCTATATGTGGAAGCCGGTATGCACACGGTTACACCATTGGCAGGGAACGCTGACCTACACATTCCCCGAGGCGCCTTCCACTCGAGTTCCTACACAGTGCAGAGACGCAGGCCCCCACGCATTGACTGTTCAGAAAGAAGTAGCCCAGGCTGGCAGAAATTACGTAATATATTCGCAACAGAAGGCACTTTAGGAGCAGATTACAGGAATTCATATGGGCTGAAACTGGCGCAGACGAAATTTGCGGCATTACAGACCTGTCTGTCAGTTGCGCCGTTATAAAAGGGCCGGTCGGTTGGCCCTTTCCCCATCGCACTTAGATGAATGCAACTCATGGTAAATTCCGCACTGTTAACAGACAAGAAAGAGGGTTTCAGCTATGCTCATGCGCGCACATACAATGCCTTTAGGTGGCCAAATCTGAAGTCGATATCGTGGTTTTTTGCCCCCTAAAGTGGCCCACGCAGTAAATGCGCTGAACCAACACGGGGTCTGGCCGGAGTTATTGGGAATGCGCATCTATAACAAATGCCAACACTCGGGGTGTGATGGTAGGCCTAGTTGTAGGCTCACGCCTCGCCAGTTTGGATAAGGACCATCCCCACTTTTTTCTTGGTGTAAAATCCTGGTCAGGTGCATGTTGTGCACCAGAGGGTGTGGTTGTACGTTTAGGTGCGGGTTTTCGCCAGACCAACCGTCAGCACCTTCGGTTTTCTTAACTCTGTCATGGCACCGGGTCCACGCGGGCAGGGCGCGGTAGATGCTGCGCAAGTACCCCATCAAACGTGTGTGTGTGTGTGTGGGGGGGGGGTGTGTGTACCTGCATCCTTTTAAGTCCTCAGGTTTCTCTGAAATTGCTTCTCGCTGGATGTTTAGTGCCAGAGGAGCATCGTCGATGCCTACTTGAAGATTGCAACGCTGCTCGATCAAGGGGAGGCGACGCGAATACTATGCAAGGTGAGCCTGGCGTTTGGGGTTCAGTCATTAAGCATGACCTTTAATAATTCCTGCTGTAGACTGTCCCTAGAACTTTTGAATGAATTGAAACATCTACACGTCCTGTACTTATGTTGTTTGGCCTTTTTACATCTTTCGACTGCAGCTTCTAGGCACCTGTACAGCCGGCTTGCAGGTGGTTTCGCCAGAGTTCGACCTATGGACAACAGCGTCCCTCACGTCGACGGTCTGATCACTGTCAGAGCAGGGTAAGTGTCCTCAAATTAACTGGCGATTCTCGAATGTGCATAAGTCACAACAATGTTTGTTTTTTTTCGCAACAGTAAGCCGGAGTCCGTTCCATGTAATAAAACCAAACGCAACATTTAGTCGGAGCAATGCACCTTAGTCGGATACCGAAACGGCAAAAATTCGTGTTTTGGCTAGCAAACTTTCGGGGAAGTACACAGTATAGTAGAATGCACACCTGATCCTTGCCTATTCATGCAATGTACCGCTTCGTCCAAGCGTTATTCCGCCCATCGGCCATTGGTTATCTCCCTTATGCATGTTTAGAATGGTTACACTGTTACTGGTTTTGGTTATACCTCTGAGGTAACATTCTGTCATCTGGGTGTCCTTTAAGCAACACGCTTTAAGCTATTATGCCAAAATGGTGTTCTAGACCATAAGAGCATCTTTTTATATTTTAGAGCCACTGAATGGATGGAATCGAAGAAAATACCGTTTTCATCCCGGGTCGAATTTTAGAATATTTTCAATGAATACATTGTTGTGTCAGATGGCTTTGCATTTGAGGGGCTCTTCACGAAAAGCCGAATTTCCTAGTGTGCATTCTGAGACTTCAAATTAAAAACATCAAGAGCGAATATGGCACGTTAAACTTTTAACAAAGCTAACACACCGCAGGATCCACTCGTCAACCTACTAAATCTATATACGCATACCAAAGCGTCAACCCCATGAAGTCAGCATGACAGTCCGAGCGAAGTCCTTCGGAATCAACGAAGGCCACCGTTGGTTGCTGGGACACGGTGCGCTGTTTCAGGCGCGGGTTTTCGCCGTGCCATCCGCCTGTACCCGCTGGCCTCCGGTCTTTTTAACCCTGTCATGCCTCCCACTGAAACCTGAACAGCTGCCTACAAATGAAGCTGCAACGAGGGAGACTGCAACTACGTTGGGGAAACTGAACGAAAATTGCAGTCCCGCCAACAAGAGCACAAATGAGCAAATCAGCGGCTAGACCCAAACTTTTAATTTGCAACGCAAGTTAGGAAAACTGGACATACATCTACCATCTTAGGTCGGAGCAAATCAATAGCAGAACGCCTAACACTTGAGGCGTGGTCCTCAGATGCCAACCCCACCAATAGGAATCTGGACCTTCCTGCTTACAAAGTCCTGCGTCATCTCCCAAAAGGCCGAGGCAGCGAGAGGAGGAAAATCGATCAGCATGTTTAGAGAATGACTTATAAATTGAATAACCATAGGGAAAAGTCGCGCATAATATATAACGAAGGGCCACCACATAATCACTTAATTCAGTGATTTGTGTTAGCGTAGGTAAGCGAATCATTGGATTTTTAGAAAAAAGGAAAATAAAACCATGCGAATTTGCCCAACTGAATGTCGAATTAATGTCCTTGGAACTCGAACCATAAGCTGGCTGAATGATTTCCCGATCTGATTCATGGGGAAACTGCCCCACAAGACGACCCCAAAAATAAACTGCGTTCTTGTGGACCCTTAATTCCGCTGGAGTCTAGAAAAGCCTCTATCGGGAGTTTTGTGAACTTTACAGTCTCCCCGGAACACCTTATTATCCTTTTAGAATTTTGATAGGTCTATCTAATATACCAACTCGAATCTTGCGTAATTTCCGTTCAAATTGTTCTGCGTCGCTCGGCACTGAATACGTAACTTTATCTCGGAAGAATGAAGTGCTCACCGGATCAAGGGAATTGTATTACTGACGTTTTGGAAAGTTTGGCCAGCTTCCCAAGGTCGGAGCGTCTAGTGCAAAAATCGACCAGAAGTTGGAATGAACGGCAGAATTAGTTGGCTTTGGGCTGATCGGCCATTACAACGACTCTGTAGTTCAGTCTCTAAGTCGCTTACTACGAAACTCACGAAGCCTACTTATCTGGTTTACTTACTGTTATTAATTATTCCGTACTTTAGTCTACTGTTAGTTGTCCGAGGTTTTCACCCTCTCAAATGTCCTCAGTTCTGAGCGAGAGGGGCCGAGTCGGTCGATTCTGAAGCCAAGGTCAACTGTTTTGCCCTGATGGGTCGACTCGGGTGTCATCTGAGTGGGACTGTTATAGAGACCACATTAAGAGGGAGTCCTTGAGCCTGACTCCGGTCCTGAGAGAACCTGGTTGTTATCCAGCCAGTTGACAGCCTTTCAAGCCGTCTGGTAGCGTGCCAGGATAGATCCAAGCGCATCAAATTTATTCTACTGAGGGATGCGCTCGCTGGTGTGCCGTGGGAATGGATGTCCCAGAGTCGACTTCGCTCGCTCTTCCCTCTCCCATGAACCAGTATCTGAGCCTGTCAACAGCGGCCTGCGCTGTACGAAACCTACGCCAGGCGTGCCCAACACGTCCCGCTTGTGCGGAAGTCATAAGCTCGCGCAGACTGCGCACCGCTTGATTAGCATGCACCATGTTATGTTACTGCCTGCATTTCAGTAAAGTTTGTTTTTTATTATTGCCCCATGTCTGTTGAATGTGAGTGTTGGCATTAAATTCGTCTCCCTCAGAAACTGAGATGGCACCAATTATCCATAGAAAGACTACTGTACAGCACATTTAGGAACGTTAATGTTTTTAACACTTGTAACAATTCGTTTATCTGTCTGGTTTCGAAAACTGCCAAACTGAAGAAACTCTGTAGCTGATTGATGTTTCTATTTTCAAATTTTGATATAATTCGCTTCCTTGTAACAAATAAGGAGTTTAAAGGTTCAACACCTATATTCCCCTCAAATAAACTGAAACAATCTGGTTCCCGTTTTGGTTCAGCGCATCTACGGCGTAACCCGTTGTGGAGTCAGATTGGCATCTCCCACCCGTACGAGCTTCCAAATGGGAGCATATTCACATCAACAGAGTTATCAGCCGGCATACACCGTCTCCTCAAAGTTCCCTCAAATGTATCGAAGAAGTAATGCCTTCAGTTCTGATACAAGCGATAGGCACCGCCTAAAAAAGAATCGGCAATTCCGATGATCCCAAACATGCGGCGAATAGCAATGAATGTGGAAGCTGACCTATTTCGCACGTTACACTTCCTGGCCAACAGAAGAGCAGAAAACTGACTTGGCAACCGTGAGGAAGAAATCTCACTTAAACACGACTTACTGATTAGTGGACTTTGGAAGCAGTGATAACGAAACAGTAAAAAAACACTTCTGGTGATTAGTTTAGGATTTCCCGTTTTCTTGCCCTATTCGGGTCTGGGACTTAAGTTTCCCGCTGAACAACCATAGGACCTTGTCTTGATTGCAAC